TTAATGACAAGCAAGCAAAAATGCTAATAAGTCTATTGTACAAACTATTAAACAAAATAAGAATAGACAAACTGGTTAAGCTTGAAGACTTAAATAAAAAACTAATAACAAACCTATAAGAAGTGCTTAAAAAGACCAAAAAGTATTTCGAACAACAGTTTAAAATACAAAATTTTCAAAACCATAAGATTAGAAATAAGTAGAATAAAATATATTAGTCAAAAAAAGAAATTGATAAAATTTGATATAAATAACTAAATTAAGATATAGCAAAAAAAAAATAACTAGAAATGTTATTAGAACTTAAAAATAATACAGCCTTAGATGTGTTAGAAATTACCTATATACTAATCAAAGCAGCTAGCAATCAGATCCAAAAAATCTTTAAAAAGTTGACAAAAATATATATTAAAACAGGATTAATATTTAGAATATAGAAGATGTTACAGATCTACTTGATATCAAAAGACTTAGATTAGCAATATAATTTAAGTAATGTAAGGCTAATAGCATTGCTAAAAACCTTGCAAAAATGCATAACCAAAATATTTACTAAAAGATTAGCATGAATATTTTGTAAGAATATATATTAAAAAGACCAAACTTTGCAAAGTTGCCAGGTGGGTCAACAGAAAAGCCAGTACATATTATTAATACAATAATGAAAGATGTAAAAGATAACAAAAAAGAACTTTAACTAATATTACAAGATATGAAAAAGGCCTTAGATTCAGTATTATTAGTAGCATTAGATTTGACATTTAAAAAACTTAAATACTAAAAATAACAAGTATTTTTATTTTAAATTTGTTTAAAAATTAACAATCAAAAATTATTACAGACTTAAAAACAACAGAGGCCTTTAAGATTAAAAATAATATCAAACAAGATAAAGTAATTTTATCTTTATTATAAAGAATATTCTACAACCTATTATTAGAAAGAATTCAAAATAACCCAAGCCTAACTATATATTATATACTTTATACAATAATAGCATAGAGTTTATAATATAAAAAGAAAAAAAATAGAAACAAGCTGTAATAGCATATGCAAATAATACAATATGAGTTGCATCAAGTAAAAAACCAATAGAAAAAATTATTGAAATAGCAGAAGATTTTTTTAACTTAATTAATATACATATTAATAGAAAAAAAACTAAACTTATCATTATAAATACCAAAAAAAAAAAAAAAATAGAAAAATCTTTTTTGATCTAAGAGAAAAGTGAAAATAAGATTATATTATTTTTGAAAAACTAGTTAAATTACAAACTTAAAAAATCAACAATGAAGTCAAGAACTAAAGAAATACTACAAACATTTATAAGAGACCTAAATCTAAAAAGCTAACAATCAGCCAATATCATATATTAACAATATATGTATTATATCCAAGTTGACCTATATGTTACAAGCAACAAGATTATTAAAAAATATGATAATTAATATATATATACCAATAATTGGCTTATTAAAAAGAAAATAGAAATCACATGATCTGTAAAAAATAGCATAATGTATCACAGAAACTTGAATAATCTTAACTTATTATAGGACCAGTTACTGCTTAAGCAAATTACTAATTTGTATAACTGACTCAAAATAACAGGTCTAGAAGAAGTATTAACTAATATAAGAATAGAAGATAGTTTTCATTTAATAGAAGCATCTAAAAACATATAACAAGAAAATATTTTTAGAATAAATACAAAGCTGTAGAAAAACAATTTAGCATGTTTAACAATGCTAAGAATAAAAGAACTTCAATTAGTTTTGAATTTTAACTATAAAAGACCAAGTTATAATAATAAAAATATAAGAATATATAAAATTTTAAAAAGAAATTTTATATCAATAGTTATATATAAACTAAAAAAGTTAGGTATTATGTTTGTATATCAGTTAATTGACAAAAAAGAAGACAAAATAATTATATAATAGTAAATAAGTTTTCTAAAAAGAGGCAATACTAAAGGTAGACCAGTGAAGTAGTTTAAAATTCTAAAAACAAAAATGATAGAAGAGCTGAGCTGCAAGATAGTAAAATCAAAATTTAGAATTACAGCTTCAAACAAAGGAAAAATTAAAACACAAGTAGAAGAACTATCTAATAATATAAAATGAAGAGATTGAGTAGTTATAAACAATATACTATCTTATAAAAAAGAAGTATTAGTAGAAAGAATAATAACTAGAATATTTAAAATAATACAAGTTGAACATTAAAAAGCAAGTTACCAATCAGAAAAACAAAAATTAATATTAGAAAAATATAAAGGCTGTAAGCATAAAAATAACAGTATTAGTGATAGTTGTAAGAGAAAATACAAAAAATAAAAAATTTATGAAATAATTACAAGGTATACAAATAAAAAAGATATATGACAACTAGAAATTAACACAAATATATTAGATTTTATTATATAGAAAAAAGATTACAAAGTCTCAGACTCAAAAAAACACTTAAAAAAGATTTGTATAGAAGACAGAAATATTGAAATAATTAAAAAACAAAAAATTAGTAATAGAATTACAAAGTTATTAGTAGAAAAATATAAATATATTAAAAAAAATAATATCAAACAAGAAAAATTAATCTTTTATACAGACAGATCATTAGTAAAAACAAAAAAAAAAAAATCAAGATCCAGACTATATGAGAACTGGTTGAATGCAAGTAAACAATAAAGAAGAGTATATAATAGATAAAAATGTCATCAATGCTAAAGGATAACTTTTTTCAACAAAAGTAAAACTACTAGTTATTTAGTATATAGTTCTTATAATACTAAGCAAAAACAAAATTAAAATATATACAGATCATATAGCAGTTATAGTAAGTATATATAATAATATACAATATATAATAACAAAAAAAAAGAATAAAAAGAAAAAATTATAACTTAATTATAAATATAAAAGATACAATATGAATAAAAGAATTAGATATAAAGATAATAAAGATAAAAGAATATAATAATAATAAGTAAAATAATAAAGCAGATAATGTAACAAAAAAAGAAACAAAAATACAAAATAAAAATGAAATTATAGAAGAACCTGTCTTAAAATCTAATGTAACACTTTGTTGAAAAAACAAAATAGTAGAAAACTTAACACAAAACTTTATTAAAGAAGTTCTTAATATTAAAAACAATACAGATTAAAACTGTATATTAATAGTTAAAAAACTAGAACCAGAGAGAGAGAAAAGTGAGTACTGCTAAACACTATTATGAAAAAAGATCAAGAATCAGAATGAAACAAAATACATTTTAATTATAAGAAATAAAATACTAAGTATGCTCTTTAAATGCATATAGAAAAAAATACCTATACTTAAAGAATTAGTAATAAGACAATCAGATTTGTATACAAATGCAAATTGTATAGTTTGCAAAGAAGAAAAAGAAAAAGACCAGAACCATTTAATAACATGTTTTTTTTATAAAAACTATTAGATAAAGACAAAAACATTGATAATAATAATAGCATAAAACATATTTTCAGAAAAGAAAAAACTAAGTATTATTCAATTCAACTAAAAGAAGCAATTTAAGACCAAACAGAAGAAGAAAGAACAGAAATAAGAAAAAAACTTATCAAAGATTTTTTATAAGAGAAGATTATAAAGAAGGTACAAAATATTTTGATTTAAATACAAAAAACAAGAAATTTCTAATGAGTATAATAGATACTATATAAAATGAATTTTATGAAAAAATTTAAAAAGAAAGATGTAATAAAGTATTTAAATAGAAAAAAAATCAAGAAATCAATAAAATAAAACAAAAAACAAAAATAAAGTAGTAGAACAACAAAGCAAAATATTGTACAAAATTTTATCAAGATTAAGAAACAAAAACTTAAAAAAATAAAAGATATAAAGAAAAAAAAGAAAACAAAAAATAAAAACATAGATGTATAAAGGAATATAGTTAGAAAATTAATTAGTAATAACAAGAGGCCTTATTGGAACAACCTCAAAGACTAACCTGAATAACCCTCTAATAATAAGTATAAATTCACTCTAATATAGCAAGTTACCTCTGAACACTAATACAATAACCAAAGAATGTCAAACCTAAAAATTAAGCTAATATTTGTATAATTATATATGCAATTCTCTTAATAAAGGATTTTGGCAAGGCTGCCAAAGATTTAAAAATAAAAATAATAATAAAAAAATAATAAAAAAAAATAAAAAATAATAAATAAAAAATAAATCTTTTTTTATAAACCAAACATAACTAATACAGCATAGTCAACATTATAATTAAGATTGGTGCGATATTAGAAAAATAGCCAAAATGGCTAAGTTTTTGATGATCGAACGAATAAAATGTCAGAATGCCAATTCTACATATAGCCCTCTTTAATATTACTTCAAAATAGCATATCGATATTTAGTTACCCCAAAATTAGGAAGTTAGATCACGTGGTGCCGCGGTACCTGTTAGCCAATCACATGGAAGTATTTCTACGAAGCTCTTAACGAAAAATAATCAGATATTGTAATAGTTAAAAAAGGTGCTTATTAAAAAAAATCACTTGCAAATACATTATACAGATAGCACATTTTATTATAATTATTCGTCCTTTCGAATGTCATGTGACCAGACTTTGTAATCGTTGTTAATAGCACTTCAGGGCTATTACAAGTTTGTTCTTTCAAAACATAACCAATATAACACTGATTTTAATATCTGATATATTCACTATAACCTTACGAAAATGTTACCTACTTGAACAGAACTTCCATCATAGAATAACTTGTTAAGAGAAGTTCATATTTAAAATCGAAAGTTTTGATATTACATTTACCAGTCTTTGACCATTAGAAAATCTTAACGAATAACAGCAACAAGCAGAGAAGTAACTAATTTTTCGACCAACAAAGCGAAACATAATAATAATCTAGTACATCGATTGAATATATAAACCTTAAAACGTCCGTTTATAATTTTGCCTTGCATAATATTTATACAACCAAACGTTCTTTGCTATGACTACCACTCTTAATAGAATCAGAATGAGGTTGAAATTCAAGTTGTTGAGATGGGTTTAAATTTAAAGTTTGTTTCAATTGACGTCTAACCGATACAAATGTAAAGACATGAAAAGGTTGAGTACAGAAATTTGTAATCAATGCAGCGATTTTGGACATTAAATTCATGAATATACACATACCCCAGAGATTCGCAGATTTCTTTGTTAAATGATGTACGCGTCCAAAGGGAAATTCTGTAAAAAATTTTTCGGACAGAAACTACCGCGCCACACACCTCATCTGTATATTCGAAGGCTTCTCCTATACATGCGAGCATCTATTCAATATAATAACGCGATGTTAAGTACTTCATCAGGGTTTCGCACGAAACTTTTTTTATCAAATGAATGGAACCGGCTACATAACAATTGCAGATAAATATTGAATGAAAGATGTTGCTAATATTGGAACATCTTTTGTCTGTCTTATTAATTAAAGTCGCTGTACTTACCGTATACAGCCAGAGTGTATTGATCTCTTCACCAGTTTTATTTCGAGGAAATTGAATAACCCATTTACCACCCTGTTCATTTGCCGGATCCTCCCACATTGGTTTTATTCCTTTTTTGAAAAGGTGATAATTGGAACCAGCAGACAGCTCACTAGCCTTGACAATATTATTGTACACTCTGCAAATATACATATCAATCAATAAAATAATAAAATAAGCAGAAAGGCAGCTAAAATTTGACTCACCCCCAAAATTCCTCAACGGAATCGAAAGTGATCAGTTCTTTCAAGTTCTGAGACCAACTTGCTGTATTTGCCTTTTTTCCTGGATTGTCAAACCATAACGTCCAGCTATTAAATAGTGGATGTTTCACGTTGAAGTTCGCTGGATCAGAGAACACTGTTCGTACTTCGTCATTTGTAAAAGGGCATGTGGTACCATTTTCATGCTCTGTCTCTTCACGATCTTCCATAACTTCCGCAGTCTCTTCCGTTGGGACGGTCTCAGTATCGGACATTTTCAATTAATTGCTTACTATAGAATATTTACTCTGGAAGCTTTCGTTTAAAAAAACGACGTTTATAAAAGACAGATTAGAAAAGCGAGGTTATGAATGGGTAAGATTAAAGTTTTCAATGATGCTAAAAAAAAAAATTATTTTTTTTTTACATTGGAGGTATTCCCATCCGATTCATTCCGAAAAAAACCATTACACGAGCTATTTATAAAGCAACAGAAAAAATACTATAGATCGATAGTCTAAAATGGTAAAATTAAGGGATAATTAAATCAAATATTCCTTGATAATTCAGTATAATATCTTCGATGTTAACATCTTTAATAGAAAAGCTTTTCGCCACGGACCATGGGTTTCAACATTTTTTAGTAAAGTTTTTATAAGAGCGAAGATGCGAACCCTGATTGTGTCACCATGATCGCAATCATATGTAAGTCAATGAAAAATACTAACAATGGGAATTTATATATCCCTGCGTTTAACCATATCGATTCATGAAAGATTGGATACATCATAATTTTAATACAAAATGCCAATTGATTGTAAATCATAGCTCTTAACAATTTATTCAAAAAGTTTAAAATACAATTCAGTTTATAAAAGCAGTTTTAATGGATTTTCAATATATGTTCTCCATACGTTAAGCCATTGCGAGCCCAGAGCACCATCAACGACTCTATGGTCACATGATAGCGTCACGTGCATGGTGGTTGCAATCCGGTATCCAGCTTCCTTGCTAGAATCAGGTATGAGTTTCTTTTGTGTAGTACCCACAGCAAGGATACAGGAATGTGGAGGGTTAATTATAGCTGTGAAATTTTTAATCCCGTACATCCCAAGATTTGAAATAGTAAAAGATCCTCCCTATGACATATTTCAATAAGAATAATAATATATGTATGTATGTATGTGAAAATAGTAGAATAACAACCTGATACTCGTGAGGTGCCAATTTGCCTTCTTTTGCACGAACTGCCAATTCCTTAACTTGTTTGGATATAGCTTCTAGTCCCTTGGCCTGTGTATTTCTTATAATAGGCGTAATCAACCCAGTAGGAGTTGCTGTGGCAACCGAGATATCAGCATAATTATACCTTAATAATTAAGTACGTTTATTATCGCTGAGAAATAATGATAACTAAATTATTAAAATTTGATTCATTAAACTTACTGCCGAATAAAATCGTTGTGCCAAGTGCTGTTTACTTCAGGCATAGCCATAAGCGCAGATGCCGAGGATTTAATCACAAAATCATTAACTGAAATTTTATATTTTCCATCACTGTCGTTGTTGAGAACTTCACGAAGCTCCAAGAGTTTGTCTACTTCCACCTCAATAGTCAAGTAATAATGTGGTATAGATTGTTTGGATTCGCTTAATCGTGAAGCGATGATCTTGCGCATGTTAGTTAGTGGAATATCAGTGTAAGATGAGGATGGGTCGACATATTGTGATGGAGTCGGTTGCTCTGCCGCAGGAGGAACAAAATTTAAAATATCAGCTTTAACAATACGATTTTTTGGGCCTGTACCAGCAACTTTATCAAGAGAAATCCCGCGCTCAGCTGCTAATTTACGTGCTACAGGACTCGCAAGGATTCTATCATTAGACGTATGACTTTTCACGGACTCCTCTTGTTTTTGCGGTTCTTCTTTTCGTATATCTTGTTTTGAAGTTTCTTCACTTTTTTCGGCAGACTCTGATTTGGAGGGTGTTGAACTTTGTTCAGGTACATAGTCCTCAAATTTCTTAATATCTTCATTATCTTCAACAAGAATGGCAATAGGCTAATGGTTTTCAAATATAAATTGATTAAATTTTTTAGAACCTAACAGGCGAAACGATATTTTTATTTTCTAGTTTGCATAATACATGCCTTCCCGACGCTAACATTTTTTTCACCAGACTCAACAAAAATTTTGGCAAGATACCCTTCTTCTTGGCATTCAAAATCCATCTGAGCTTTATCAGTTTCGATTTCGACTAACACATCACCGGGTGTAATGGAATCTCCGACCTGTTTCCGCCAAGTACCAACATTCCCCTGGGTCATTGTAGGGGATAAAGCAGGCATATTGATCACAATATGATTTGGATATGCTATAATGTAATTTGTAACATTGAAATATATGTGAACCAAAAGTGATGGCTTTTTTTTCACTTTGGTATATAGTTTTAAACTATTCGATCCATTTCATAGACGCACAACTATAAGTGCTAGACGAAACTTTTTACGAGATGACGAAAGACAAAACCTAACCTCCTGAAAGACGAAACTGCGAAAGGTGAAACCCCCTGCGAAAGACAAAACCCCTGACGAAACCTCTGCGAAAGAGGATACCTCTTGTTGAAAAGACGAACATTAATATAAAAAAAAACCGAAAAATAAAAGATTATGGGCGAAACTAATAAAGTAAATAATCAATTTTCATAATGTGATGTAACGGTGGCTAATAGACTTATTTAAAAAACGATGGGTTTTTTATATCGATATACTATAATATATATCCCGTTGCTTGCGCTAACGAAAAAGGCGCCATGTACGTAAGATTTTTGAAATTTGTAGATCAATATATATTAAGAAAAATTTTTGTTCGTTTTTGACCAATCAGAGATCAAGATCAGGTGTAACGTGACGATCAAATCAACAATCACTCTTTTTTGTAAAGTCACATTTAAAAAAAAGCCTCTAAATTACTATAGCGAAATATATAAAAAAAGTTAGGATTAAGGTTCTTCTATCAGGAACAGTACTCAAATAACAATTTTTTTTAACTCCATCAAGGTCGGTATCTGGAACGGTATTTTTGCCACCTTTGGGGGTCGTCTAAAGCCATGCTTTTTTATGTAAATCAACCAACCTGAATTACAAAATTTTATTTACACGGATTAGTTTGAAGTTGACAAAAAAAGAAAAGACAAAAAACAGCAATTTTACCTATACTTCTTTTTTTATACTATAGTAACCTAACCTTAATTTTAATTTTAATTTTAATAAAATGTTAAAATTATGTAGGTACATTTAGCAAGAAAAAAAGTAATTAGTATAGAATAATATTAAAAAAAAAAAAAGAAGACAAAAAAAAAACAATAAAAATATAATAAGTATTAAAAAAATTAAAAAAAAAATATAAATAGAAAGAAAATAAAAATAAATAAAAATTATTATAAGACAGATAAGAAGTTTAAAAATTAAAACTATTTAATAATATAGAATTTATTAACAAATATAAATTAAAAAAGTTAGAATATATTTGTAAAAAAATTAATAATAAAAATTAACAAAAGTATAATAACTTAGTAAAATAGATAAGTTGGCAACCTTTTAAGTAGTAGGTTAGATGTATAAATTCTATCAACAGTAAAAACTTAAATAATTACCCATATAATATTTGTATTATGACAACTGTTTTTAATAATTAGGTTAAAATATTTATAATAGCAGTTATATTAGCATAATTAGCAGATTATGAGGCATTTGTGTAATAGGTTATATAGAGAAATATAAACAAATTTCAGATAATACAAATATTAAATAAGTTTTTGTAGTCATATAAATTTGTTGAAATTGAGAAACAAAAAGTTTATTTAAAAAAGATCTATATAAAGAAGTAATATAGATTTTTACAAATAATTATAATTAATATATATAACTCTCTCTGATGATTACTTGTACTGAATTTTACATTAACAAAAACAGAAAACTTATTGGAGAAAGTAGAAGAGATTACTATATAAATAATGGTTTTTATAAAGGTCAAAGTAGTTCTTCTATACTGAACTCCTTTATATATTTAGCAAACAAATTAAAAACACACATATACAAGATAACTAGCAGGAGGCATCCTTGTATAACAAATTTTAGTAGAAGTCTTGATTTCTGTTAACGAAGTTAAAATAGTAGACCTTATAAGAGAACAATAAGCAAGTTTTCAACACATTTACTAGAAATTCAAGAATACCTGCTAATCGAACACCACTACTATATTCCTTGCTTGGTTTTTGATAGAAGTTTTTATAAGAAGTAGGAATTTAGTGTACCCCTTATAAAAGATCTATAGAAATCATCCATTTTGGAAATAGAAGAATTATTCCTTTTTTGAAATTAGGAGTAGCTCTAAGCGGAGTGAAAAGGCCAGTTGTAGAACTGATGAAAAAGAAATTAAACACTGACATCTCTATTATCGAATTACATTTATATATAGTATAAACTTATTTCTAGAATAGAGACTAGAAGTAGCAATACTATATAATTTTTACAATTTGCTCTAGCTGAGACTTTGGCCCTCTTTTTGTTTTTTCTTTTTCTTACTATTACATATTTGTTTTGCTATTTTGTTTTGATTTGGGTTTTGTTTGTTTACTTTTGGTTTTTTTTAGTCATGTTCTTATTTGTATTCAATTTTATAATACTCATCTTTTTTCGGCTCTTTGAGAAGAAGAAAAAATTTAAAGAAAGGATTGAAGACAATTAATGCTTGTTCTGGAAAAAAGAAATCCTTTCTGGTATGGCTTTAAGTAGTCAGATAAGCAGTCTATCTCTAACTGAAGTAGTGCAGCAAGTCACACTTAGGTACCAATAAGATGGCCAGGTAATGCTGAACTTAGTTATTAGAAAAATTGTATATAGTTATTGTATATAGTTGCAAGAATCTTAATAAAGTACTGGTGTGGCTGCTTAAGAGCAAAAAATATATATATATATATATATATAGATTTTTAATAATATTGCTATAAAAGCTAGATCTAGAAAACAAATATTAATATATAAAAATTAGATAAACAAGAATCTTAAATGTGAAGTACTATTAATTAGATTGTTAAAAATTTTAATTTAAAAAAAAAGAATTTTGGATATTATAATCTTGATATACTAGTAACAGGGCATAGTTCTTTTAAACTATTTGAATTAGAAGTCTAATGCCAAAAGCAGATATATACTATAAATACTAGAAATATATTATAAAATAGTACTGAGGTCTAAGTGAACTTTGTAAGAATAAGTTCTGTTAATAAAAACTAAATATAGGTAGTTAATTAGCAGAAAAGCCTTCTAAAGTCCTATAGTCAAATAATGTATTTTAAAATTTATAACAATTTGATAAATATATAGATATTAAGATTAGAATTAGGTTAGATAACACTTAGATGTATATGAACTTGTGTAGTTATTTGTCAGATATAGTATAAGAATCAGAGTATTTAATTAAATAATCTTCTAACAAATTACAAATATGACAACTAGTATAGAATTTATAAGCAAACTATTTAAATAAATAACTAAAAGTTATATATATAACTAGTTGCATACTTATCTTGTACAAGTTATGTAATTATAAATTTTTTTTTTTTGATATTATGATGACATCTTTGGTCTTTTGATTTTTATTAATTACTTATTAATATTATGCTTCAATGAACTACTATAGAAGAGTGTACAATTGGCTATATATATAACTTTTTTATATTATCTATTTAAGGAGCCTGCTCAAAGATTCTCTACCAATTGTCATATCTAATACCCCTGCTTGGATGTTCTACTTTAAACTTTCTGAACCTGTAATTTGTGTTAACTTACTAAGTTATACCCAAATATTCAGATCATCATTTTAACCTTAGAACTAATTTATTCTTAAAGTAAATCTCTCAGAGTTTTTTGTATTTATTTTTATAGCTAATCTATGTATTGCTATAGCAGAACTAACACTTGTAGTCAAGGCTTAACTATTAAACTCTATGCCTTTGTAGAGTTCACTTAGACTCTAGCATCTACTTCATAGCATAATTCCAGTACTTTAGTATACTTCTGAATTTCATTAAACTCTCAATTCAGATGGCCTATATAAAACTACAATCAGTTTATCAGTATATTAGATTGGCTTAATATCTTTTTTTTCAGTTCATTCTAGTAGCCTGATTAGTAATACCTCTAAAACTTCCAATCCAGAGATTTTTGCCCATCTGCTTACTAAGACCTGAATATCTATTTCTCTAAGCTAGTCTTTACAATAGCACTGTCAAAGATTTAGCTATCTCTTTATTCAGATATTCTTAAATGAACTTTTTGTTACTCAATTTTAACACATTTATATAACTACAAGGACTTATCTAATGTTTACACTATCCAATTGCCAGTTTGCATTTCTTTGTATAACCATAGATCTTGTCCCAAAGGACAATATTATATGGCTTACATGAATGCCCTATAACTTACCAGTTATACTAATGCAACTGCTATTACAAATATCCTAAGCTAATTGTTAGTAACAGTTGCTATAATATGAATATTATATAAGTAATTATCTAAATTTTCACTGTTAATAGGATTTGAACATCCAACCTACTACTTGGAAGGTTGACAACCTAACCACTTTACTAGATTACTATATTTTATGTAATCATAATTAAATTACAATAAAAATAATAGTTATTAATAACTAATAAATTTAACAAAAACAAAAAAAAAAAGAATTGAGATATAGTGACCTAGTGAAGTGATCAGGTTGTTAACCCTCAAGTGGCAGGTCTAGAGTTCAAATTCTATAGATAACAAATTTTGGAAAATAGGTCTGTGTTATAATAACTGTTTCTGTTGATCAGTTAGATTAATATATCTGTAACCTTTAGTTGTATTAACTTAAATAAAAACTTAGAACATTTATGCTAAATATAATATTATATACATATAGAGAAATATTAATAATCAGTATTATATAAGACTTAAGTACAAACCTACAATAAGACCACCAGATGCAGAAAGCAAAGAAACTGAAGAGTCGGAATTTACTTGAAAATCTTAAGTAAAAAGGTAGCACAAAACTTTCAACAATGCTGTCATTCTGATAAAAGCTTATGAACCATTTTCAAAAGGATAGGCAGATAAACCAAATAGTAAGATATGTAGAGAAACATATAACCAACTAGGCCACCAGAATCATCAGAGAAAAAGAATACTAAGGTATAACATATTAGGCTATCTGATTAGACATTCAAAAAGTCCTATTGATTCTAAGTAGCAGTTAGTAGAAAATAATGAAAAAAACATCAAAAAGATAGATATCAGAGTTTTGAATA